ATACAAACAACAAAGAAATTATAATAAAACACTTACTAAATTGCTGCCAGCGTGCCAGTACATACACATACAGCTTTACACCAAATTCAGCTTACGCTGAAAACGGAAGGAAATGGCGGTGAGAGTTGTCGCGTTGACGCTTAGATGCCGGACAGGATATGACGTTGATATACGCGAGCTCAACGTAAGCGGATAACACACACAAAACAGTCAAGTGGAAGCCACGAGTGCAAAGCAAGCGTCGCCTTCTTGCCTTTAAAGAATATACAAGTAAGGTACACAATGAAGGGATGAATTAAAGTAGTAGGAAAATCACAAAATTTATGCAGCGAAAAGTATGAGTAATGCAAAACAATAATGTAACGGGGAATACCAACAGCTAAGTAAGGCATACACCTTTTCTCCATTTTAATGTGCAGAGACCTGAAAAATGCTACAGCGCCACTTCCCAGTCTCTCATTCTCACTGAGCGGCCATCCCGCCGTGGAACGGATATGATTTATTTTACGTTTTTTGTTATTATTATTTTTTATACATTTTGATTATTTTATAGATGTGATTGTGACATGCAGCAGTGATTTGCTTTATTTTCATTGCCTGTGCGTATATGATAGTGTGTGTGTGGCGAAAATGGGTTAAATATACATAATTACATTTGTGTGTGTACCGGTGCTTGTTTGGTGAAATTATTTATGCAGTTTCTGCACCTTCTTCAAGTGGCTTCAGATGAGGTGAAGCTTGCAGTGTGTGAAAGACGAAAATAATTAAATCTGACAGCTGAATTAAAGTAAGAAATATTTTTTTTTTGTAGGTGTATTAGAAAATAAGAGCGACAGTCTTTGATTTTACTCCATAAAAAGAGTAAATGAGACATTGAAAGTTCTACTTATAATTCTAAATATTCCAACGAGCAACTTCAGAGATATTAAAAGTGCGTTTAGCCATATAAACACCAAAATAATTTCATACGTCTGTATGAAACCACAGGGATCCACAAGAGTTAACAGTACTATTTTCCATGCTGATTATCATCAAGTTGCTCCCGTCGACTCTCTTGCTGATGCTCTGCATTGGTGTCATCACACCCAACTTATAACCCGCCAGTACGACTTTTTTAACCTAAACAGTCTCTACAGCCTGGATGGGAAAGTGGTGCTAATTGGTTGGATTGAAAGCGAGGAGAGAACAACATGTGCCCTGTCATCAAACCAACATTCTCATTTTGGCTCCACGTTAATATGGACAGTCATTACTATACAGCCGAAGTCAATTTTTTACATCAAGGCACTAGTAATAACACCAACAACAATGTCCGCCATGAAATTCAACGCAGAATCACTCTCGCCACCAGATGTTACTTCGAGCAGAGTTGGCAATCGAAAAGTAAATTCCTCTCCCGTTGATTTAAAATCAAACTCCACGAATCGCTAATCATTTCCATTAGTGGTTACGCTGACCTGATCACGTCATTTCGGTTGGTCGAAAGCACTTCAGCTTGGAAAGTATTCGATGCAGATACAATGCTCTCTGATGGCAACCGAGAAAGAAGGAAACAAAATCTTAATAGTGTCGGTATTACTCTGGTCCCAGGTGGCAGCTCGAGCTCTTCGTATGCTATGGTTAATGATCAAATTCCGATAACGAAAGATAGTTCACGAATATGTTGATGGACTCTCGATGAATGTCTTCTGAAGCCTGTCGGTTCTTGTATAGGGTTCCAAATGAAGTTTTTTAGTCGAGTACATCCTTCATGATGTGGCTCAGCTTCAAGTACATGTCTGTTGGATTACTCTTTACAGTAACAACCCAGCAAATATTGCTTGAAATTTACACTCCTTAATGCGCTTCGCTGAGCAAGTGATGCTGCAGAGTCTTCAGAAGGTTTTTGGTCACGGCGTTTCAATCAGAGCAGTGTAGTTTACGACCGGCTGGCCAATTGCCTTGTGTGTTGTTGTTTGCCTTTTTTCAGGTGCTGCTGGCTAACGCTTTGATGATTTCATTGTGACTCTGTACTTTAGTGGAAATCGCAGTTGTTAGGAGTGGGAGAGTGCGCAGGCTATCGAATGGGACTTCCAGTAATTTCGGGTTGCTGATTGTCGACTTTTACATATATCGAGTTGGAGCCGGTGCTCCTTCGTTCAGCTGATGAAAAGGGTCGATGACTTTCTTTCTTTTGAACATAAGTTATCAATTTCCAGGTAATAGGTTTGAGCCAGAAGTCACTGCAATCTAGTATAGGACAGTGGACACCCCTGGCACCAACTAAATTTATATGCTCGCTTTCAATGAGCGATTTTGGGCTGTCTTAAGTCTCTGAAAGAGATGTTTAAAGAGAACAGACTCGTTTGAATGTCTGGCGAGAGGTACAAAGAGGTCTACGCAGATATGCCTTTTATAAATCTTACGCAATTTTTTACAAAGGAATTTAGTTAAACTGCATTTGGGGTGGAGCCAGACTTCTTCGAAATAGTGCCGAAAAGAGTGACCTAACATTTACTTCCTGAAAAGAATAAATATCCATCAAATTTAGATAGGTTCCGCAACTTCAATCTCTGTGAAGGCAGGGGCTCCGTAAGAAGACGTTACAGGAGCGACAAGGGAGTAAGAAACGATTATCCATCTACTGGCTAGAAGTGCTCTTCGCAATATTGTGGCAACTTCTAGGGATGGCAACTGGCAGCTGTCAGGGGTCAAAGCAATCAACAAATCATAGGATGCAGAACAATTGGGGTTGTACAAAAATCATATTCTGGCCTAAGTGAGTCATTGTTCACCCATTGAAAGTCACCGCTACCCGCCTATCTTTGTCTAAAACATAAATCCGTATATATTTTTGGATCGATTATATTTCCATAAAGAAAATATGCATTTCTCCTTTGCACTTTATTATTAAAAATTAATTCAGGTAAGTATGTATATGTGTAAGTGTGCGGCTACTTTATCAATAATCTATATCGAAAATAATAGTAACGTGATTTGCGTTGGGGAAACTAAAAATACTCATATGAATGCAGGAGCGTATTGCTATGTAAATATGTATGTTAATATATATTTATATCCTAGTGACCCAGTTCCAAGTGTAGTGGCGAATATAATAACAACTTTGTAGTATAATAACTCGTAGTATATTCGATACCTACATACAACTGTTTGTATGTAGATGAGTAGATAATATTTGTTAATACATATATACAAGTGTACATATACTATGTATGTGTTGTAATGTATCTTGCCAAAGTATTCTATATTTACTATGATGTATGCGCTTAGTTGTTAATTTATATTGTATGCCTACGGCCGTACTTATTATGAATATATATGTATGTGTGTGTATTTATACATTTCAGTATAGCATATGTAGTATGTGTAAAGGTTTGCACTTCACTGCGGAATTATTATTGCTGGTCATGCATATGTAAAATTATTGTACAACAAACTGCACAATTTTTCCCGCCTCGACTGTTGCATATTTTTGGGCGGTTGCAAAGTTGCGTGCCGCTAGGAAATCGCTCACTAATTGGGCAGATATTAAATACTTATAAGGCTTACTTATAGCTTTGGAAATGAAAAATAATCAAAGAAAATTTTTTATATTTTTTTTTAATTTGAACATTTTCTATGTAAGCATAGAGCAAGTGTAGAATTTGAAGCTTCCATACTTGTGTTTGCAAATATTATTTTGTTTTAAGGAAATTTCAAATTTTTTTCTACAAACTTGTAAAATTCTATAAATAAACAAAGTATACTGAAACTTCGCAGTCGCTTTAATTAAAAAAAAATATTTATTTTTAATTATGTAGCACATCCGTGTATGTTAAAATTTAAAATTTAAGTTTTGTTATGTGTTGAGCGGATACAAGCATGAGTTATATTGAAGTATAACTAGAATTGCTCAGTACAAACGTGGCAAAAAATAGCACTTTTATTATTAAAAATAGTCATAATTGTGAAAAATTATTTATTTAAAGCCGAAAGATACGAAAAAAAAACATATTTTTTAATTTTTGAGCAGTTAAATGTATTAAAGTTTTTTCAGATCTAGTTCCGGACGCACGATGGATAAAGACGGATTTTATAAACTGAAAATTTGCCGGAGAATGGATTTAAATTCAGGCATAAAATGTTTATGTTTTTTTTAAAGCTTCATGAATTTACTCAGTGAAATTTTGTTTTATGTCTCGATAGTTTTTCTTCAAAATGGAAGGTTCTCCGAAAGCCTGACGAATTATGGTGGGATACTTTTTTTCATGTGCCAACATTAAAAAAACTTTTTCACGGCATCGAAATGAACTTAGTAAACAGAGTGTTTAAGAAAAAAAAGCTGAACAAAAAGTTGGGTGAGATTTATTTAACAATCCTGTTATCGAACCCAATAGAGTTTAGAGTTTATGGTGGTTTAATTTATGCAAATCGTTACAATGAATTAAATTTGAAATATTTTTATGGCATAAGAATTTTTGTTTGCATATGAAGCAAATTTGAGTCGTATTAACCTTCAAATTTCCTACTGGGCATAAACATTCAGCTAGAATGAGTGCGTGCGAATGCAATACTGCAGAGTTCCGTTATATTTACAACTCTGCCAATGTTTTGAAAATTTAATAGTGAAAGTGGCGGTTGGAGCAAAAACTTTTCAATAACTTTATACCGCAAACAAATATATGAACTACAACGCTACTGACCTATGTACATATGTATGTACCTAAATGCGAACGAAAATCATAATTTCATCAGTGCAATTTATTTATTTATATTTATTGCACAATAAAACTGCCGTCAAGTGTGATATATTGATTGCACTGCAAACGTGTAACCTTCGGCGGTAGACAAAAAGTCAGAGTCACTGGGTGTTACAATGAAAAGAAAAAAAAATGAAAAAAGAGAGAAGATAATTGTGTCTGCATGATATTGTTATTGCCTACTTTTCCAACAAACACATCTCGTATGCACATATTAACGGACATATGCTAAATACCGCATGTGACTTCACTTTCACTTACCCCTGAACGCAAATCCAAAAGAGTATCAAAATCGACAATGTCTAACTCCTCCCAGGTCTTCGGCGGCAGCGGTGAGGGTGTTTGTGCACGTGGCGCATGTGGCACTTGTGTCGACTTAGACGCTTGCAGCGTATTTACCTCGGCCATTGCGGCGTCAGCTTCGCTAGTGCTCTTTGATGTCGCCTCAACGCGTTTGGCACTGCGTGCACGCACAGGTGAGGGATCGCGTTGCAAGTTATGCATTACCTCAATGGGTTTATGTGGCGTTTTGGGACTGATGATATTGTCCACCGGACTAACGCTGAGTCGTTTGAAGGGTGTGTGCGGCGATAAGCCAGCGCTACCGACAGAATCACGTCGTTTCGGTGGCGAATGCGCTACAACTGTAGTCGATGAATTCGGTACCGATTCATTGCTCAGCGTAGGCGTGTTGATGTAAGCATTTCCATTGGTTGACACTTGTGAACGTCTCGGCGACTGCGCTGTTCTTGGACGTGGTACTGTCGTTGATTGCTCCGCCATCGGCAAGGGTTTAGTGTTATCATTGATGATTTCGACGCTCAGTGCCATCATTTTACTGTTATCTTCGGGTACCGGACTACTCGTGGCGGAGGTTGATGGCGTGCTAATGATAGTTATCTCCGTCGTTGTTGTTGTGGTCGTGGTGATAGTCCGCTGCAGCGGCTCACTACTATCACTGCTAGCACCACCACCGGTGCTACCGTTGCCGCCGCCTGCGTCGATAGCACTTTGATTGCTCATCGAACCAGTGAAAAGCATCTGTGGGCCAACACCATTACCATTTCTGTTGTTTGAAGAGTTCGCGTCACTGTCTGGTGTGCGCATCTTCACCACTTCGCCACCGAAGGTGACACGCTTTGGCGTGCGCGACGGTGTCGAAGGTGTTATTACTGTGTAGTATTCTGGGTTTTCCGGTTGATGTGACGCTCGCACCAAATCATTGCTGTCCTCCTCCATATCCAGCTCTGAGTCGCTAAGTAAACGTACCACCGCGCCGATCTCATGTAAGGAGTCGTGTGTCGCGCTCGGTATGCGACCACATACCACTTCATCTTCCAAGCTATTTGGATACGTGTCGATAGATTTATGCGGACTAGAATCAGTATCGGCGTCAGCTTCTGTGTCCTCGTCCTTTGCTTCCAGTATGCGCATGGTTAAAGTGTCATCGTTAATTTTGATCTCAGTCTCCATTATAATTTTACCCTTAGCTGCCTCCTCGAGCATTTGCTCTTCATCGGACGATCGCCAGCAGCTAGCCACAGGCTGTTTGGCAAGCACGCGCCATGTGTGTGCGCCGACACTGCTACCATAATCTTGATTTCGATGTGCGCTACCATGCCGATTTCCATTGTAGTCGGTTTTAGCCTCAACGCCATAGACGTTACACAGCAAATCGAACTCTCTGTATGCGCTGTTGGACATATACTCACGAAACTCCTCCTCTCCTACAAGATCACGTAATTTTGACAGTACTTTCAAAGTGATCTCCTGATGTGTCACCTGTCCCATCTTCTGCACCAACATCTCTACGGCTGTGCGTAGTAAGTAGTGCCGTTTGCCGGTGTGCAGTGTCGACTGAACCAACGCTGGTAAGGATAGCATAACACCGCATGTTAAGCGTCCACCAAATGGTTCGTTTGTGATCTTCTGATTCAGTCCGATATCGAGTATCTGCAGCAGTATCGTTTCTGGCATCGCAGTTTCCGCCAGATACACACGCAGACAGTCAAGTGCGCCTTTCCTTACGGTAGGCGCCTGATGTCCCAAATTCTCTACCAACGGCGGTATTAACGGATCCATATACGCATCCGCTTCGTCACGCATGACAACCAGCACATCGACAAAAACACGCAATGCATGTTGCCGTACCTGCCACTCGGGATCGCGTAGACGTTCGAGAAATTCACCAAATATTTTTATGGGATAAACATTATCGGGCAGGGTACGCGTACGTAGGATATGCTCCCACAAAGGCGTCAGCTGTACTGTAGCTGGGCCAGAGGTCGCAGCGCGATGTAGTGTGCTTGCGGAGCCGTAGTGCTTGGACGCGGCTGTAGCGCTGTTTGTGGGCGCAGTTGAAGCGCCATATTTACGTCTTTCATTACGTCTTCTTTGTAGCTCGTAGTCGCTGCTGCTACTGGTCGTGGCACCATTGCTGCCAGTAGCAGTGGCGCTTCCACTTCCATTCATATGCATGCCGTTGCTATTGCTATGGCGCTTGCTCCGCGTTGTGGTGGCGCCGCCAAAAGCGCCAAACCCATCGCTTTCGCCATCATTGCCGTGCGCGTCACCATCATCGTAATCGTAAGCGGTATTGCCGCCGCTGCCACTACTGTCCTTGCGCGCAAACATGCGGCGAAAGAACATAATATAATAATGGAGGATTTAAGCAAGGACACAAAAAATATTTTCTTTGTTTAAATCGCCTTTAATTTTTTTGTTTTGCACTAGAAACCGATTTCAATTGTCTCGTTTTACTGACCATTCGCTTCACCACATACACACGCGCGCGATTTCTTAGAACTTTTTTACTTTCCCTTACTATTTTTTATGTAATTCTGCTCTCATTGCACTTCACTATTCGTGCACAATTTTCTTAAGGGTTCTTACACTTGTTCACTAGTCAGTTGCGGCCGTTCTAATTAAGTTTCGTCACGCACTTATGCATCCGGCCGTGGAACCCCTAATGCTCACTGATTGCACTGACCACTTCTAACGCCCACACACTCATACAGTTTTCCCTTTCTTGTTATTTTCCATAAAGTTCCCCACTGCTTCAATGTATTTGTTTTGTTGTGGCTTTCTTTTTACCATTAAGTTTTAATTTATTCTTAGTGCTTTTTTTATCCGTACTCGTTCGCTCACAACTCGTGACTGTGCCATTCACTGCAACGCCATTGACTTTTGTACTCTCATATGGTTGGTAAATGCTGTTGCTGCTATTGGGCAAATTCTGAGTGACCGTTAAATGTGTTAGATAGTTGTTTACTATGGTGGACATCAGCTGACGGTGTTGCCGGATCGGAGGTAAGGATTCGTTGTAGCCCTCAGGGTGTATTGTGCGAGTTGTACGTATGTGGGGAAGTGTCTAATATTTTCTAAAACTAGCCTTGTCTTGCCAGAAGTGCATATACATATGTATATTTCGTGAAGAGAGCTAAGACTCTTTCAGACCTCAGCTCTAAGTGAACCAGGATATTCTCTTTGCTTTAAAAAAAAGTTTCCGACCCAATGATTGAGCGGTTGGCCTAACTTATCATAGTTCGTCGCTAACTGGACATACCTTACGGAAGGGAGCACGGCACATTTTCTATAACAATCGTCTTTTATACTTAAGGATTATATAAACAGTTGTTGTAACTGCTCTGCTATCCACTCCGTTCGCAGCGTTCGATTTTTAATAAAAGTATCAAATTTTAGGATTTTTAAAGGCACAAAATGAAATCCAAATGAATCGAGGACCTCTTTGAAGGCTTGATTATCTGCGTATGTATCCCCTTAGAGCCAAAGAAGGTTTGTCTTTATTTCTAATAAACATTGGGAGGTGGTCACCACGGTGTCAATTATGAACCTTCGAGTAATGAATAGCAGTCCTTCAGCTGCGGGTTTCTTCATTCTTAAAGTAAACTATTTATTTAATTAAATTAATGGAACCCGTCGTTTTAGCCAAGTTCACGTCCACCTCCCACGTAAGGGTAATTTTGAAAAGTACGAGAATCGACATATCTCAGTAACCAAATGAGCAATATCACTTTTTCCAACCGTTGTTACTTTGAACTAAGGTGGCAATTGAAAAGAAAATTTACTTCTCTCGACGAAGGAAAGCCAAGCCCATCATTGCCATCCTTTTTTTTTGGTGTCCAAGCGTGAACGATGCCGACAGCCGATGAGCCGGTCTTGGTAGTCTTCGAGAGAAAAGTTTGCGGAAACGTTGCGCTTTAGTAATGGCGAATACTTGAGATGGCGCGAATACAGAGAAAGCTGAAGCTTTGATAATACTCAATTCAGTAGACACTTGTGGAAGCTTCGGAGGAGGAAAACCACCACTCAGATGAAATGATCAGAGGCTTTCCATCGTATAGCGCGGGGCGAAGAGAAGAAAAGATAAGCTAATGTAGAGCGCCAAGAAAAATGTCCAATTAAAATCCTATATATATATATAACAGGGACAATTTAACCTTCTACCCTCCGCATGATTCAAGGTCAAATTATAAGGGTAATAATGAAGAGAACTTGGCCGAACTTGGATAGTAGGTGAGCTGCTTTTAATGGGCACCAAAGTTCTACAAAAAAATATACCCATTTCTTATGTAACAGACTTTATATTTTTTACCGATGTGGAAACTACATATATATCACCCGGGTATTTAATATTTAATTTCACTCGAGCTTAATTTTATTTAAATCTTTTTTTAACTTTCGCCTCGCTGAACCACTTACCGAGCTCGCTCCAGTAATATTCTTTTTATATAACTACCACCAAACGACGAGAGACCGGTTCCTCTTTTGGTTTCAAGCGACTAAACTATCCAGCTACCAATCGCTAGTTAGCTTCTATATGGCGGCTGAAAAAGCCAAGTACCATTGCATACAATCATTCTGAAAACAAGAGTTCTAGACGTGTAAAGTATTTTTTTCAATGGCGTTCGCCTCTCGGCAGTAAATGTCAAGCCCTGCGCTTGTATTTCTGACATGAAATAAATGCTCGTCATAAAGAACCATCGGCCGTTCCGGGATGTTTTGGAGAGAGCAATATCTTTAATCGTTAGAGAATTCTTGTAGCTCTAAATGCGACAATTTAGTGGACTTACGCTGGGTGAAAAATATGTCTCGCCACCGAAGAAAATTTGGTTCGAAAAATCGCCGACCACTGCTTGTTGTTCAAGCACCCAATCGATGTATGCGCAGCATTCTGAATGGTTCGTTGGCTTCAGTTGTTCTGTGTACTGGACTTTATAGTGTATGTATGTATGTATGTGTGTAAGTACAATTGCAAAATATGCCATAATGTGCAGAAAGTCTAAAGCGGGAAATAGACTTATTCGGACTTTCGTCTACACTTTCGGTTACAGTAATAATATTTGAGGTGGAACGTTGGACATCTAGGTACAAAATAATCTCGTCTTAAAGCACGAAACCACGTTTGAGCTATCTTTTTTTTTGTTGTAGGTTTCGACAATTTTAACCCGTTGTGCAATTCTTAAGCGATCCATCTTCATAACTGAGTTTTAACTATGGCAAAACATATTTGGTTTGACATTTAAGTTTGACAGACGTCAAAATACAGCACCGTACTTTTTATACAACGAAATGAGTAACCCTAAAAAATATTATAAGAACTTAGATTTAATTCTTTTTTTTAATTTACCCGAAACTTTAAAACTATACCTCACATTTTGTGTCAAAACTCACCACAAAGCATTTCCTATATATACTCACCACTTTCAAATTGGTACACATGCGCAAACTATTTGTTTCGATTTTTTGTTGTTTTAACGGTAACCAAGCAAGAATAACATTTGGATTGTTTACAAAATTTCAAACAAAAGAGAAGTTTAATAAAGCGAAAGCACGAATTTATACAAAAGAGGAAACAAACAAAAAAGGGGGGCCGGTTTCACAATTGTCAAACTCAAAGGAGAAAAATTATGAAAATAAATATGTAAGTAAGCAGTGTGTTGTAATGAAAACAAAAATCATACTAAAAACACTGCCAATTTTAGTGACGGTAAGTGCAACGCATAAGTGTGGCAATTCAATATCGGCGTAAACGTAAATTACTGTAGAATAAAATTATTATTTGTAACTAATACGAGCCCCTCAACCCTCGCCAGCAAAGCATGCACAACTTTTTTTTTTTTTTTTTTTTTTTTTTCTTCTTTTAGTTTTTTTGTTGGGTAGGAGTACAGCGTGAGTATTAGCGTGACATCCAGACGAAATGTCTTTAATTATTCTCATTCTTGCTGTTGCGGTTTATCGGCGCTTATCGCTCGGTAAAAGTATGTCAACTGAATATAATAATATTGGTCAATTTAGTCGACAAAATTGGTACAAGTTGAATTGTAATTGCCGCAAGTGTGTACAAAAAGCTTAACAAATTGTTAAAGGGCACATAAGGAGAACAAACACTGTTGGAGGCATTTGGTTTGCAAATATTTTGGTATTCAAACGATGTGGGGAATTATTTGGTACATTTCTCTATTGAAGTCAGTAATGAGGCAAAAAATAGTTGAAAAGTGTCTTTACGTCTCCTGTTGATTTAATTGCAGTGAAAAACATTGATGTCCATAGGGATCTTGGGGACTGCGATGCTAACTTCAATCTCGTTTCATTTATCAATTATCTAACAGTGAGAAATTGTGACTGTTAGCGCCGATATCTCTAATTGTGAGATTTTAGTACTCAGTGTGCAAAAGATCGATTACAACGTTGGCTGTGTGTTAACGGTCGATATTGAAGAGCTCCTTCCTTGATTTAGGAGGAAAATTGTGCAATGATGCAACCATTGCCCCACGTCGCACTTAACAGTTACTCGTTGAATGTGCTTTTACTTAGTTAAGTGTGGGTTTTCTGAGTCTCAAATGCAGGCGTTTTACTTGCGGCTACCTTAGCAGATATGAGAATAAAATTAATAAAGACATATTGAGTTAAAAATTGTTTGGAAGGATTTATTTTCAGCCGAAATTTGTCCGAAAATGGCCAAAAATTAAAGAAAATTAATATATAATATATATTGGGTTGCCCAAAAAGTAATTGCGGATTTTTTAAAAGAAAGTAAATGCAGTTTTAATAAAACTTAGAATGAACTTTAATCAAAATAATAATTGCTATTTTGTTAGCCTTTTGCCATCTTCCTGGAAATTTAGTATTCCACACTCATAGAACTTCTGGCCTTTATCTGCAAAAAACTGAACCAAGTGCGATTTCATAGCCTCATCATTGCCAAAAGTTTTACCATTTAAGGAGTTCTGCAAAGATCGAAATAAATGGTAGTCTGATGGTGCAAGGTCAGGGCTATATGGTGGATGCATCAAAAGTTCCCAGCCAAGCTCACTCAGTTTTTGGCGAGTGACCAAAGATGTGTGCGGTCTAGCGTTGTCCTGGTGGAATATGACACCTTTACGATTGACCAATTCTGGTCGTTTCTCCTTGATGGCTGTGATCAATTTGTCCAATTGTTGACAGTAAACATCCGAATTAATCGTTTGGTTTCTTGGAAGCAGCTCGAAATATACGACACCCTTCCAATCCCACCAAACAGACAGCATAACCTTCTTTTGGTAGATATCAGCCTTTGAAGTTGTTTGAGCTGCTTTACCATGCTTGGACCATGATCGTTTTCAACTAGCGTTGTTGTAAACAATCCA